ATGGGTGGCCTTCAAAAAAAAAAAATTCGAATCCTTCATATGGAGTAATGTTATTTTAAGCAGATATTAAATTAAAGGCTAAAGTGTCATCCCGCACTATGAACCATTCCCGATTATTCATGTCGCACCATAATCTTTAATAAGTGATATTTAGATCCATAAATTATTTTTTTTTTTTTCGTCTTAGAACTTTTTACAAGTTACTTAGTTATAATATGCTGACATGGACTCTTTTTTTTCTTTTTTCTTCTAGCATTCTTGCTGACAGCGTGGACTATTTATTCATGTCGCACCATAATCTTTAATAAATGATATTTAGATCCATAAATTATTTTTTTTTTTTTCGTCTTAGAACTTTTTACAAGTTACTTAGTTATAATATGCTGACATGGACTCTTTTTCTTTTTTCTTCTAGCATTCTTGCTGACAGCGTGGACTATTTATCTTGCACGCAAAGCCTGCTTTCACTTTCATGCCTGGGACTGTAGCTGAGAGCTCAAATATTCAATCTTTGCCTCTCCAAATATGACAGGTATCGAAATTCGGGCTCTTGAACACATTTGGTCGTGGTTGTCTTCCTCCTTCACTTCTTGGCGGCGTACTCGATCTGGAAAACTCTGCCGTTTGGAGAGAAGGTTGTCACCGAGAGATCGTAGCTAGTGCCTATGCTGCTCATCTTTTCTCTTCCGTTTCTTCTGCTAGAGTTATTCCCCTTGATTCGCTTCAACTTGCAAGTGAGAAATAGGAGTCTTAACCAAATGCACCATTGTAATTTTCTGTAATGTCTGAAGCACGAAGACAGTAGGGAAAAAGAAGATGAGGTGTTTTCTGGCTAAGGTTTCAGCTATTTTAATTTAAAAATACAATATGATCAATGTCTGCATTCTTCAAAATATGCATAGTAAAAACTTAAAACGGACACAAAACATCAACACCACAGTAGACAAAATCTCCCAAGAGTATAAATCTAAGAGCTTGAGAATGTTCTTCAAATAAAAACAATGCCAACAAGACACTTCTAATCAAAAAGACTGAATCCCATATCGTCATCAGATTCCTCCTTCTCTTCCACTTTCTTCTCCTCCTTTTTCTCTTCTGCAGCTGGTGCAGCAGCGGCACCACCAGCGGCAGGTGCAGCAACTGCCACCCCACCACCACCGCTTGGTACTGAAGCCAACTTTTCCCTTCCAGCTGCAATTAGCTCAGTGATGTCTTTCCCCTCAACTTGGGACAGTAGCAGCTCAATTCTGTCATCATCAGCCTCGGCACCAACTGTGAAAATATGAATTCAAATGTTAGATCCTCCAGTGCCGTCATTAAACACAAGCATGAACAAAGCACAGAACATAAACAAAGAAGGCCCAAACAGCACACCAGACTATAGTCAATAAATCTCCTTAAAGAGTTACAGCATAATGTGTTTCTCAACTCATACACGCTGAGATAACATTAGTGTAACAAATACTCAAGTACACCACTCATTGAAAAGACCCTGCATACGCATTCAAATGTAATATCCATCAACAATAGGACTGCCAAAGTGAGGGAAAGGAGATTCTGTTGAAATATTCCTTTTTTTATAAACTACGGAGTAATTTTTAACTTAAGGAAATTGGTGCATATAAGAGTGAGGGGAAAATAGAAGGGTTAAATACTTTACATACTTTACATAAAGGAATATAAATTGCACATTTAATTCTTGTAACAAAGAACTGTGCTAGATTCTGTTTCCCCTTCCCTTATGATGCATTTTTTAACCAGATTTTCATCCAAATTTCTAATACAATTGACATTCAATAATTTAAATAATTTAGTTTTAGACTTTGAGTCTCTGACAAAATTCATATACTAGATCAGTTGAGCAACTTATATGTCATCCTAATACAAATATAAAATCAATACTAAAGAGGAAAAATCTATTCTCAAGAGAAGAGATCACTTTACAATTTCTCGATAATAAAAACTTTATTGCCCAAAAACGTGCAGATATATTGAACTACACATAAAACCTAATAATGTAATCCATATTCAGAACTCAGACACTCAAAAAGAAAACACAAAAATAGAGACGAGAGAATGTGTAAATATTTAGGGTAGATTGCGGCATACCAGAAGAAAGGATTTTCTTAATGTCACCAGCGGAAGGGCAGGCTTTGCCACCCAATAAGGCCAACAAGTATGCTGCGAGAACCTTCATCTCTCTTTTTCTCTGTTCCAAAATTTCAGAACAAAAAAACACGAATTAAATCTAGGTTTATTAGAACAAATTGCAGTGCCACAGATCCAATCACGAGTAGTCACGACACATAAATATGTATATACAAACACACAATCACAGAGATTGAACAGCAAAGGAGAAGAGATTACCTTTGAAGTCTGAGTAGTAGTTTGGCTCAGAGGCTGCGCGTTGCTGCAAATGTTTCTCGGGAGAGGAAGGGGATGCGAAAGCGAGGTATATATATAGCTAGGGTTTTGCTTCGTACTCCCCTTACTCGAACGATTGCCCTTAACGTCGTCCAAGTTTTCAGTATTCACGTTAATTAATTGTAATAATTTCACATGTATCCCTGGATTGTTTTACCAAAACGATTTGACCCCTGTTATTTAATAAATTAGTAAATTACACACATACCGAATACTCCCTAAGAGTGTTTTTTTTTTTTTTTTAAAGCAAACTGCCGCATATATTAATCAACCAAAATTGAGACAAACGCAGGATGAACATTGTAACACCCCTAATTTTTAAAATTTTTAAACTTATGAAATAAAGGCAATTTAACGTTAACATCCTAAACAGAGCAGAGACTACACAATAAAAGTCGGGATGCTATGCCACATCTAAGTTTGAGAACTTAGATGCACAGGCTAACTAACTAAACAGGACATAATCCAAGTTTAATATCAAAATACAAATCAAGACACGCAGGCCGTCTACCAAAACTACAACTATCTAATATAGGTCCTCGTGTCCATCTAGCGCACTCCGAAGCTACTGATCTGCACCTAAAAAACATATGATGTAGCAATCGTCAGCGAATAATGCTGAGTAACCCACTCACACGTGTTGAGTACAATATAGGTAGATATAAGACCCAAGAGCTCTTATCGACGGAGTCGTTTGGCACATCGATGTCGACTCATCACATCCTGGGGTTGAAGAAAGTCCCAAGGGTTCGGTTGTAAAATCATTTTGAGACTGGAATACATATATAATCCTAAGCAACGCTAACTTTAAAACCAAGATCAAGACTCGGGACCCGGCAACGGACTGAACACCATAAAACAACATAAGAATACTAGCATGCAACCTAAAACCACAAGATAGGAAAGTAACGAGGCTCAGCAACAAACAAGACAATAATAAGGCTTAACAACAAACATACAACATTAAAGCTCAACAGCAAACAAGACAGTAACAACACATATGTCCATTTTCCAACCTTATACCAAGTTCCAACCTTTACTCCTCTCCATCTTTATATTAGTTCCAACCTGTACCTCCAGACCACCCTTATATCGTCTCCCTTATTCCTCCGGAGCACGCATGCTCCCCACCGACATACCGCCAACAAAGCCACCGATCTGATAGCACCGCAGTACCATTAACACATGATCTGTGCCTATAGCACAATAATCAAGGGGTCATGCATATAGCACAATGACATGGCACTGCTGCGCTAATAACTTGATCTATGCCTTTAGCAAACTAATCAAGGGTGGTCTGTGCCTATAGCACAATGACCGAGCACTCGTTGTGCTAACCGCCAACAAATCTTTTCAACCAATCACATCTCTTTTCTCACCATGGACAAATCAATCACAACAATCAATGCTCAATGTGGTAGGATAAATCAAGACTGACATCTCCACGTGTGCTTTGGCCGACCGCAGTTGTTACGATTGTCGTTTCTCAGATCGGTCTCCTTTTCCCGGTTGGTTAGCCCGACCGCTATGCCCGGTCCTACTTTCCCGATCGCTCTGCCTTAGAAACAATAACGGAGAGAAGACACGTGTTAGTGAGAGGAGCCGACAAAGGGTTAGTTTGGCATGATGACACGTGGATGACGCGTGTGTTAAATGCCGATGAAGAGCGGAGCTATAAATACTCTTTGAGGGCTTGAGTAAGGGGACTTTGGGAAGATTAGAAGGATTTAGCCCAGAGCTGCTCGACCGCATCCGGTCGGTTCTCGAGCTAGGTCATTTAGATTATCCTTAGGTTCACGTGTATTAACACTATCATTTTGGCGCCGTCTGTGGGGAACGATATGAAAAGTCATTAGTGATGCATACCATATCTCAATCATGTATCCTTTCATGTATCAGCAAGAAGACGAAGAAGCTAGTTCAACCGACCAATATACTCAACAAGGTCCAACTGTGGATCTAAATCTTACGCTTGGATATCAAGCTACACCCGGGCCAGTTAATTACGTCCATCCTACGCCACGGATACCTTTCCAACCCATACAGTATCCAGCCCAGCAAATGCCCAGTCAACCTTACCCGTATTTGGGGATTCCGCAACCCGCACCTACTACTCATTATGGGTATTGGCCCGGCACCCTGGTGTATTACCCCTCCGCTCTCTATACACCACTTTCTATTGCTTACCCGCCATCAACGGTCGCCCCTGCGTACATGGCTCCAACTCCGCCTCTTCAGTACCCTACCGTTTCTCGGACCGAGTCCGGGTTGCAACCTGCTCCGCAGGTCTATCGCCCGGCTCGCTCTCCGTTGGGGTCGCAGGGGGTGGGGCCGGGATAAAGCTCCAACCGCAGAGCAGCTCGATGCGAAAAGACTGTTAAATGAAGTTAGGCAGGAGTTTACTCGATGGAAACGTGAACATGGGTCGGGTCCATCAGAAGCTACCACCCCGTTGTTACGAACACCCTTCACAATCGATATAATGGCTCAACCATACCCGTACGATCTACGCATCCCGGGTAATAAAGATTATGATGGGCAAACGGATCCAGAGGTACACGTCAACTCTTATTATGGAAACATGTTAATGATGGGGGTTTCCGATGCAGTAATGTGCCGAGCCTTTTATTCCACGTTGACAGGGCGGGCAGCTGATTGGTTCCGGATGTTAGAGCCAGGGTCGATCACTTGCTTCGCTAATTTGGCTACTAAATTTGTGCGGAAATTCGTCACCTCAAAGACAGTTCGTAAGCACTATATGTATCTGGAAAAGGCAAAGCAATTGGAAGGGGAGAGCTTGATGGAATTCCTGAGTAGATGGAAAATCGCCATTGGAGAAGTCGAACCCATGGACGATCTAACGGCTATTCACATGCTGCACACATCTTTGCGTGCTGGGGATCTATACCAGGATTTTATTCTACATCCGCCCGGATCATACGAAGAAACCCTTCGGCGGGTCACGGATTATGCCAATGCTGGTGAAGCCAATGCTGTGAAAAGCTCTCAGGAGGTTGGCTCGTCACACAGGTCCGCAGGACGGTCGGAGAACCGCTCAACCGAGCAGCAGGCTAGGGGTCAGGGACGCCAAGGAGATTTCACACCCCTAAATCGCTCGGCTGCAGAGGCTTTGCACTATGCTCAATCGTGTAACCTCGTGAAATTGCCCGACCCCATGCGAGATGGCAAGGATAAAACTAAGCATTGTGCTTTTCATCGTTGTCAAGGTCATGACACGGAGGAGGGCACCAATTTAAAGCAGTTGCTAGAAGATTTGCTACAGGTTGGTAAGTTGGATAAATGCATTGGAGAAAGAAAAGAAAGCAATCGCTCGGGAGGTCGAAGAGGATCTAGGCGATCGGATCACAATCGGAAGGATCCTGAACCCGACTCGGGGGCTCGCCCTTCAGCTAAGCTGACCATTCAGGTGATCTTTGGAGGTCTGGAAGACACATCCCGAGATCAAGAACACTATCCGGTCGGCATAGTAGATTCCCGCGAAAGTGGAAAAAGGCAAAAGATGGAACCGATCACCTTTGCACTGGAGGATCAACCGGAGACTGGTGATACGGGGATGGAAACACTCGTTATAACCATTGATATTATGGGGGTTGATGTGCAGAGGGTTATGGTCGACACTGGTAGTAGTGTAAATATCCTTTACTTGGACGTCTTCCAGAAGTTGAAATTGGACCCCATTGAATTGATCCCGATCGCGACTCCTTTTCACGGGAGATACCATTCATCCGAAAGAGAAAATCACCTTGCTAGTGGAGATTGGAACCCCCCCCCCCCCCAAGTCGATCAAGACCCAAATGGAGTTCCTAGTTGTCAATTAACAGTGCGTTCATAATGCAATTTTGGGACGCCCGGCAATCATGAGGATTAGTGGTATTATATCAATGTCGCATTAATGCATGAAGTTCCCCACCCCAGAGGGAGTTGGAGTACTTCGAGGTGACGTTCACTTGGCAAGAAAATGTTATTCGCGTGCAGTCAATAGGCGTGATGCGAGCAGTTCTCGAGTGAATACCATTGTGAAGGACGCGGAGAAGGAACGGAAAGAACAGCCAGAACCTTCCGATGAAATTGAAGAGATAATGCTCTCGGAAGATCGACCGGATCAGAATGTAAAGATCGGTCGCGCTTTGACTCCGTCTTTGCGAGGAGAAATTATAGCCGTCTTGAGAGAGTTCGCTAACATATTTGCTTGGGGATCGGAAGATATGTCGGGTATCAATCGCACGGTCATTTGTCACCGGTTGGCTGTTGATCCCTTGTTCAAACCCGTCAAGCAGAAAACAAGACATCTGTCATCAGATCGAAGGGAGTTTGTTCGAGAGGAAGTAAAGAAAATGGTGACAATCGGTCATATTCGACCGGTAACGTATCCCGAATGGGTAGCAAACATAGTATTGGTCCCCAAGCCCCCGTCATGGCGCATGTGCATCGACTTCATTGACCTTAACAAGGCGTGCCCGTTGGACCCATATCCCTTGCCAAGCATCCACCAAATGGTGGATGAGACGGCCGGGGCGGAATTGATGAGTTTCATGGACGCTTTCAAGGGATACCACCAAGTCATGATGGCTCATGAAGATGAAAGTAAAACTGCTTTTGTGACTCCGGACGGCTTATACTGTTACAAGGTTATGTCGTTTGGACTTCGAAATGCTAGAGCTACCTATAAACGGATGGTCAATCTGCTATTCGAAAAGTTGCTGGGTCGTACCATGGAGGCGTACATTGACGATATGCTTGTTAAGAGTCGGGACCGGGCCGATCATGCTCGGGACCTTCGTCAATGCTTCCAAATTATGAGAACATATCAGTTGAGATTAAACCCTAATAAGTGCACATTTGCGGTCCAAACGGGAAAATTCTTAGGGTTTATGATGACCAAGGGGGGGGGGGGGGATCGAGCTGAATCCATCGAAGGTTAAATCAATACTCGATATGCAACCACCCACAACCGTCCGGGAGGTCTAGCAGCTTACGGGTCGATTGGCCGCTTTAAGTCAATTTCTGTCAAAATTAGTCGAACGGTCATTGCCATTTTTTAAAGTGTTGAGGAAG